CTAGGCAGCCATAACCAATTACAATGAACTGGGCTGCCGAAGACAACATAGATGTATGTCCCACGGTTCTGCAGGCCAGAAATCTGAAATCGAAGTGGCCAGCGTGACATGGATCTGATGGTCTCTGCCGGGCCTGGGGCGGAGCCAGGACAAGCCCTGGGACTGAGGCCGAAGGAGGGGTGGTCCCCCAAACAGACACTGTTAGCAGGAAGAGGGGGCGACGGAGGGGCGGCAAAATGACAGGTGTCCACCACGGTGACACCCTCCGTCTCCCCGCCCCGAGGGGCGCACGAGGGTTCTTTCAGTTAGTTTTCTCTGTTTTCACATATAGTTGAAAAAATAAGGCTAAAGAACGTGTGTGTGCGTGTGTGTGTGCGCATGTGTGTGCGCACGTGTACACGATGGACTAGATTCAGCCTTGAAAATGGAGGACATTCTGCCATTTGCAACAAGGTGGATGGACCTGGATGGACCTGGTGCTCAGCGGAAGAGACACGGCATGATCTCATTTCTCTGGGACCTGAAAACTCAGGCCTCGCAGAAGCAGGGTGCAGAGGAGGTTCTGGGGCTGGGGAGGGGCCTTGGGGACACGGGGGTCAAAGGGCTCTGTCTCTGGTCCCGTCTTTCTCTCTCTCTCACGCACAACCTCAGCCTGGCACTTTGCTCCCCGTCCTGGCTTCCTGGAACCTGTCACTCCTCTGGGGGAGGCAGGATGGCTCAGCCGCATGCAGAACAGCTGCCTCCCCGGCTCCTGACCACTGTGAACCCCCCCAGCACGGCTGTGCCATCTGTGAGGTAACAGGCCGTGGGCCCGCCAGCTGTCACGGGGGGCATCCGCGAGAGGGCCCGTGGCTAATGGACAGATTCCGCAAACATCTCTGTTGACTCCTCAAAGCTGCTCACAGTCAGAGCCAGCAGCCCTAATGGGAGTCGGGGACGGCAGAGTCGGAGTGGGGATTTGGGGGTGTCATTAGCCCCCACTTTGTCTCTGGGCAGGAACTGGAGGTGTTGATGCGTTTCTGTGGCTCAGTGTTGGGGGGTCAGTGACGTGGCCGACACAGCCTCCTGCTCCTCCTGCCGAGGGCGTCCAGAGGGTCAATTCTCAGAGGGTGTTGTCTCAGGAACGAGATGCCGACGTCCGAGACCCAACCCCATCAGTGAACTAGGTCTAATCCCAAGTCCACCCTGCAGTCCTCTTGTCCATGTTGTCTCTTCTATAAAACAGTCGCATTAATTTTTTTTTTATCCTCACCCGAGGACATTTTTGCATTTATCTTCAGATAGAGCCGGAGGGAGGGAGAGAGGAAGAGAGAGAGAGAAACATCGACATGAGAGAGACACATCAACTGGTTGCCACCCACACGGCCCCAACCGGGGCCAGGGGCAAACTGCAACCGAGGTACGTGCCCTTAGCGGGAACCGAACCCGGGACTCTCTGGTCCTCAGACCGACCCTCTAACTGCTGAACCAGACCGGCCAGGGCTTAAATTCTAACTTAACAGTGTCCGTGCACCTCAGGAGGCTGGCGTTTGGGAGTGTGGGGTGAGTTTGGAATGACACCCCGCTTTCCTGGAAGACCGCTGTGCGGCCCATGAGCTCTGCTCCCCCAACAATGTCCAGTTCTCTCTCTCCCAAGCCCGCGGTAGACGTTCACCTCCCGCCGCCCTGTTTGTGCTCTGTGTGCACAGGACCTCTGGCCAGTAAGTGATGAGTGGAGACAGGGAACCTCGGTTCTGGGCTGAGTACTCATGGCCAGTACGGGGCCCTCCTGAGTGTCCTCTCCTTGGCACGGCCGTCGGCAACCTTTGAGGTGGCTGCCTTCTGAAGACTGGGTCCCAAAGTGACTGGTCTGTTGACCCCGCGGCTCATGCAGGAAATAGCCCTGCATCCTTTGGGCCACTGGCCTCGCCTGACCGGCATGTGGCGGTAGTAAAACATGGAGGGCATTGGGCACAGGCTGAATGGTGAACAAGAAATGCCTTTTTTCCAGGAGACAGAACAGGACTTGCCGGAGACTCTTGTTTCCGTCTGTGAGCAAGGCCCGGCTCAGAGGGCTCCAGCCCCGGCGGGCAGTGTCCAGGCTGACCCCCAGAGCTGGGCTTCACGACATTAAAGGACCTCGCCTTCCACAACCGGGTCCTATTTCCACCGCTCCCTCTTCTCGTGTCCTGCCCCGGATGACCGCCCTCCTCAAGGTGTTGACCCGCAGGGTCTGCTGATGTCGCCCCTCGTGATGGCTCCAGCTCCAGCGAGGGCTTTTCGCCGACAAGCCAGCCTCTGGACCTCGGGCATGCTCATGCTGCTGAGGGGCTGGCCACTGGGGGAGCCGGGGAGGCCAGGTGCACCTCGGGTCCTCCCTCAGTGTGTGTATATATATATATATATATATATATATATATATATATACACACACACACACATATATATATTAATTTTTTTCTTTATTGATTTTTAGATTTTTAGAGAAAGAGGAAGGGAGAGACAGAGAGATAGAGAGAAACATCAATGAGAGAGAGCATCAATTGGCCGCCTCCTGCACACCCCTCACTGGGGATCAGGCCCACAACCTAAGCATGTGCCCTGACTAGGAATCCGGAATTGAACCAGTGACCTCTTGGTGCAGGGTCGACGCTCAACCACTGAGCCACACTGGCTGGGCCTCCCTCAGTATAATTTAAAAGTCAAATGAAAACCAGTGTGCTGGACTATGAGGTATAGTCCCTCTTTGTAGAGCACCCCCCAATCTTCCCAAAGATTGATGCTTGTGCGGAATGTATCATCCCTACTGAATTTTAGAATGCAGGTTAATGTAGCTACCTGAACAAAATTATGTTTTCTCCCGCAAAACTGCCTTAACGTCACTTTCGATAAACAGATCGTGAAAAGTGCTTGATTTTTTTCTTCTTCCTTGAGTGACAGTGATGAAGAAATTTGATTCTGGAGACGAATCATCTGGGCTTGGATCCCAGATGCACGCTTTGCCATTGATGTGACCTTCAGCAAAGCGTCTGCCTGCTCCTTGCCTCAGTTTCCCCATTTGTAAAATTAGATAATACCAGCTAGTACCACTGTGCGGTTAACTGTGTGTTACCTGGTTAATAGCCACCAGGGACCTTGAACAACATCTGGTAAGATCTCACCACTGCACTAATGTGCCCTGCTTGTATTATTGTTCCAAAAGCCATCCATACAACCTGGCATTTTATAAACAGAAAAGTGCAGTATTTCCTAGGAAGGCATACAAGAATGGCTGTTTATTAAAAAACACACCAGTTTTGGGCAGGACCTTTTCGGCTCAGTGGTTAGAGTGTCGGCCCAAGGACCAAAGGGTCTCGGGTTCGATTCCTAGTCAGGAGCACGTATCTGGGTTGCAGGTTCGATCCCCAGCCCTGGTTGGGGTTGTGTGGAGGGCAACCAATCGACGTGTCTCTCTCACATCTATGTCTCTCTCTCTCTCTCCTTCCTTTCCACTCTATCTAAAAATCAATGGGAAAAATATCCTTGGGCAAAGATGAACAAACAAAACAAAATCAAAACATACCAGTTTTATCAAACTTGCTGCCTCATAAAGCCTATTCTGGGGTGATCATTAAAAGCAGAAATCCCAGGCTCCTCTCAGAAGAAGTGATTTATTTGGTAAACTCTCTGGAGACAGTGGGCCTCAAGTCCCAATGGCTGGGTCCCACTGGTGGTGGGCCTCTGCATTTTTCGAGACAAAATGTCCTGAGAAAGAAAAGAAAGTTTCGGCAAAGAAGAAGAGAGATGGGTCTTGCAGCTCTCACCAGATCTTCCCAGAAGCACAGGATAGGCTGATGCGTCCCAGGTCAAGACATATGGGTGTGGGGAGAATGCTGGACTAGGGGCCAAAGGGAACCCCGACCTGGAGAACCTGACGCCCCGTCCTGGCCCCTGACCTGGTGCTGCCCCTAGGTCTCATTACATTTCAAGCCCCGCCCACCTGTCCTTGAACTGGGCTCTTCCCAGCCCTCAGCCGGGGGTGGGGGGTGGGGTGGGGTGGGGGTGGGGGTGGGGGGTGCGTTATAAAGCAGGGAGACCACCAAGGTGGCTCGGACCCTGCGGTCCGCTCTCCTCCCCACACAGGTCCCCATCCCCAACGGCCAGTCACGAAAGCAACACAGCCACGACTGAGGTCAAGTTTGATTGGAGTCAAGTTTGGGGTTCATTACCAGTCTGGGGAGGGGACGCGGGGAGGGAGGGCCCGCTGGCTCCGCCCCTGCCGCGCCGGGATGCCCTGGGTCTGGGTCCCGAAGCGCGCGGTTCCGCCCGGCGGGATGGGCGGTTGTGTTGGGTGGGGGGCCCGGTGGGAGCGGGGGGCAGGGGCGGGGGGAGGGCGCTGGGCGCCGCGTGCATGCTGATGAGCTGGGCGGCCGCGTCACTCCGCACCGGCGCCGTGACTGCGGGGCGGGCAGGAGCCGCACGCCAGCCGGAGCGCCCGCCCGGCCCGCGCCTCCCTCGCCTCTCTGGCACCCGGGCCCGCCCCGCCGCACCCCGAGACGGGGCCGCGCCCCTCTGCGGAGGATGCAGGCTGCGCCCTGCGCCCGCGGCCCCGGGCAGCCCCTGCGCACGGGGACCCCGGGCGGCCGCGGGGCGCGGTGGTGCTGAAGGGACAGCTCCCCGAGCCGACCGCGCAGCCCCTCCCCGCCCACAGCCGCGCCCGCAGCACCCCGCACGGTGCCCCCGCCGGTGTCCTCGCCGCAGCCCCTCACCCCAGCCCCTCCCCCAGCCCCGCAGCCCCTCCTAAAGCCCGCAGCCCCCTCTCAAAGCCTACAGCCCCTCCCCCAGCTCGCCGCCCCTGCCGGCAGTCCCCTCCCCCCGCAGCCCCCCTCACCGCCCCCGGCCCGCAGCCCCCGCAGCCCTAGCGGCCCCGCAGCGAGCCGGGTGGCTCATGGTTCCCGAAGCGGCGGGCCGGGCGGAGTCTCCAGTGGCCGGGCCCATCGGGTGCCCGTGGGTGAGGCAGCCCCCAGCTTCCAGCCGCGTTCATGGCGGTGGCCAGGAAGATCAAAACTTTGCTGACGGTCAACATCCTGGTGTTCGTGGGCATCATCCTCTTCTCCGTGTACTGCCGCCTGCAGGGCCGCTCCGAGGGGCTGGTGCAGATCGTGCGCAGCGCCGACCGCCGCGTGCGCAGCCGGCTGGCCAAGGCGGGCGCGCCGGTGGACCGAGAGGCCATCCTGCAGCGCCTGGCCCACCTGGAGGAGGTGGTCTACAACCAGCTGAATGGTGAGCCAGCCGGGTCCGCTGGGATCGGGCCGGGGGAGGGTGGTCCCGGAGCCGGGTCACTGCGCTCCGTCCCAGCCGCTGGCGCGTGTGCTGACTCCCCCGGGCCTGGTGGCCAACAGGGGCTGGGATGGCATGTCCGTGACCCCTGGAGGCAGATGGGAAGACAAGGGCCCATTGAGGCCTCCGGTTGGCAGAGGGTGTTGGCCTGGATGACCACTGGTTCACTCAGTCACCAGTGGACACTGGAGACCACCCCTCACAAAATGCTCGATGACTCCAACTCGTTGCCCAGGAGGACTTGGGAGAACTTCTGAAGAGGTGTAGGACCTGCTTGAGGAGCAGGTCGTGCTCGGGTGCGAGAGTGGGGGTCACTCTGCGCTTCTCCAGACGCCGAGGGTCAGGGCTGCAGCGTGGGGGGAGACGTCGCCCTTTAGAGGTTGCTGGCCGGGTGCTCTTTTATGCTATGGGGAAGGGGGCCTCCCTGACCACTAGGCTCATTCAGCTGCCTGTCCTGGGGATGCCCAGGGCTTGCTCCAGAGTGTTGGGGGACAAGCAAGAGGCTCTGAGCCGGTGACAGGTGGACAAGTAGGGGGCTCGCAGGAGCCTGGCAGGTGTTAACTGAGTAGGTGGGTCCTGGGTCTCGGTGCCGGGGGTGGGGTCTGGGTCCACAGGAGTGTCTGTGGGAAGCCCAGCTGCTGGTGGGTCTCCTTGTTCCATTTGGAACAGGTGAGGGTCACCCCTGAGAGGCAGCGTCGTCCTCAAGGGTCAGAGCCATGGGCACAGCCGGTGGGGCGAGGGCGGCTGTGCCTGGGGGGCAGCTCTGTGCAGCTTCTGGAGGAAGGAGTGAGCTGCCCACCTTGCTCGTGGGCTTCGCCCTCTGTTTTCTGCACTGACAGCCCAGCAAAACCTCGGGGCCTCAGTAAGGGCTCCGCTGGGAAGGTCTGGCCCAGGCTGCAGGCTGTCCTGCCTGGTGCAGGGTGGCGGTGGGCTTTCCTTCAGGGTGCCCCCCTGCCTCTGAGCAGCACCTCTAAAACCGGAGTCTTGGTGACATCGTGAGATTCGGCAACTGCCCGAACCGAAGACTCTCCGGCTGGCAGCAGCCTCCTGACCCCCAGGCACTTTCGTGCCCCCCCCCCCCAGCCCTCCCAGGACTCCTGGTCTTGCTTCCAAGGTGGTTTTGAGGGGCTTTGTGGCTTTTCTGTTCTTTCTTACTCAGCTGAGAGGAGGGGAGAGAAGTTTGGTTCAGCTGCCCTGGCCGCTCTGGCGGGTGCCCCGTCTCCGGAAGGCCGTGTGACCCTGGGGAGCACAGCTGCACTGGGCTGTGTGGTCCGGTGTTGTGGTCTGTCTCGTGGGAGAACTGGAGGGTTACATAAAAACGTGGCAGCTCGCCTGGTTGCGTAACGTCGTGCCGGCCAGCTCAGCACCGGCCGTTCCCACCTTGCCCTCCAGGTGAGAAGAGCCAGGACTCTCAGTGCAGAAAAGGCAGGACCTTCCGCTGACTTTCCGGACACTGAGATGAAGATGTGTTTGGGGACAGAGGGTGTCACGCACGTGCCCACCCAGCTCTCCCCTCTCCTGGCTTCCCCTGCCACCCTCTTTCTCTTCGTTCCTCCTCCTCAGGGTCCCTGTCTCCTTCCTCCTTCTTGCCTACCCTTCTCCAACTGCCCCATCTCTGTCTGTGTCCCTCTGTCTCTGTTTCTCCCTCTCTCAGTCTGTCTGTCTCTGTATCTGTCTCTCCCTCCTGTCTGTCTCTGTCTCTCCCCCTCTCTTAGTCTGTCTGTCTGTCCTCGGCTCCGTGTCTCCCTCTCTTAGTGTCTGTCTCTCCCTCCTGTCTGTCTCTGTCTCTCCCTCTCTCCGTCTGTCTGTCTCTGTGTCTGTCTCTCCCTCCCTCTCTGTCTCAGTCTCTGTCTCTCTCTGCCTCCCCTGCCCCACGGTCTTCGGTGAGTCTGTCTCGCACCCTCTCTGGCCATGGACGTAGCACAGTGTCTCACCCAGGAGTCATTCGGTATTTGCTCCTGGAGATGACAAGAGGACTCCAGTATAGCACGCGTCCCAGGTTGGTCGCTAAGAAGGGAACAGCACAGCCGTGGGGTTGACATCTGTTCACCAGACGCCGTTTGGAGACGGCGCTTAGCCCCCGACACGGGCGCTGATCCCCTGTGTGGATGACGTGGACGAGGAGCAGAGAGGCCTTCCTGGAGGAAGCAGCCAGCCCTTTGCAACATCGCCGGTTCTTCTTTAGATCCAAGGATCATGAAATTGATTCCGGGGAGCTTCCACCCGAGACTAATTCCGCTGAGTTTAGAAAGGAGAGGGCGAGGTCCCAGACAAAACTGATTTATCCCCTGTACTCCCTCTGCCTGACTGCCTCCAGGAACTCTCTCCTGCTTGGGGAGCCAGTGGGGGGCACTGGGTGTTCTGGGAGTGGGGAGCACGCTCTCCCCAGGTCCACTCCCCTTCTCCAGCTGGCCTTGACCTCTATGCAGGCTGCCTTGGTGACCTCCACAAAGACCTAAGTACTGGTGCAGATGAAATCCACAGTACCCGGGAGAAAACATTCCTATGGACAGGCGGTGTGGGCATGTCCTCTGTGTGCATGACTTTGCTTCTATGTTCAGTGCTCGGTGCAAGAAAAACAGCCAGAGGCACAAGTCATCCTTCCGAATATCTTAAGTGGCCCACGAATTACAGCATCATGGTTCACGTGTGGAACCGGCCCAAGTCTGTGGACGTGGAATGTGAGAGGCTCTAGCTCGTGGGAAGGAAAGGGAGCGATGTCTCTGACCTCAGCTGTCTGCGTGTTCAAGCCTTCTGCCTTGAAGGACGCCTCCGAACCCCTGGAGACGGGGGTGTGTGTAGGTCTGTGCTCCAGTGACTCTCGGGGTTGACTTCCCTCCCGGTCAGTATGGAGCCTATGCAAGGTGAAATCACGTGATCGTCGGCCTTGAACAGCTGAAGGCCTTGACCTGGTGGAAATCTTGACCGGGTGGAGGCCTTGACCCCGTGGAGGTCTGGACCAGGTGCAGGCCATGAACTGGTGGAGAAGCTGAATTTGGGGAGCCTGTCCAGAGAGTCCCCGCTGGCCATGAGTGGCAGCAGTGAGCCCGTAGTCCCTCCATCTGTGCGCAGCCTCAGGCTCGGGCTTTCTCCTGTGACACCGGAAGGCCAGCCACATGAGGGCAGGGAGCGTGTCTCTTGAACCACGGACGCTTGGTGGACACCCGTCAATACGGTGTGAATGATAGAGACGGGCACACAGGAGGCTGGAAGCCCCCAGACGCTTGTCCTGGAAGGGGGGAGGACAGAAGAGCTTGGAGCAGCTCCGAGGCCCGGGAGGCCCAGCTGCCCAGCTGGGGAACCCCGGCCCTGAAGGTGCGCCGTCCGGCCCCACCCGGGAGCCCGGTGTGGAGAGGGTTCTCCGCTTCCTTGCAGGAGCTTCCATCTTGGAAATGCTCCCCGATACTCCCCTTGTCGGACGTGTGTCCCAGCGAGAGCCTCCCCTATTCATTTGCGAGTTTTAATTTCAGAAGCAGCTTCCCGCCGGCCCCGGGGGGCCTCTGCGGCGGGAGTTCATCCATCTTCATGCTCCGGAGTCTGCCTTCGGACTCACAATGCGCTGCGCTGCTGAGCCCCGCGTCGAAGTCGCTGCCGCCCCCCAACGCCCGCGGTTGGCATCCAGCCCCGGGCCTGGCCGGCCGTCCTTCCGCAGCTCCGTTTGCCTGGCTGGCCTTTCGCCCCGAGTCCGTGCCGCACCCCCTCTGCCTACGGGCTAGGAAAGTGCAAAAGTGGCTGAAGGTCCGAAGGGAGCCCCGCCCCCGCCGCAGGCCCGCCACTGCCTCCCCGCGGGTCCGCCCGCCGCCAGCAATCACATTTCGCTTACTCGGAAGATGGAGTTTTCGGATTTTGCTTTTTTCCTCTTCTCCGTCTGCTGGGCTGGCTCTGACCCCGTCCAGACCCCCGTGGGCCCCTTCCCGGACATGAGGCAGCACCTTCGGGACCTGGGCCTTGGCGTTTGGTGGAGAAGAAATGACCCTTCACCCTGCAGTAGACGCCCCTCACATACTCCCCTGGGGGGAGTGGACCTCTCCAGGGCTGGCTTCACCCCGAGACCCACGTCTGCACATCCAGTCGCACGCGCAGGAGTAATTCAGGGGCGGTGCCCGGGGCTGAGTGACCCTGCATCTGCAGTTCAGCTCGGCAATCTGCACCTGACCCAGGCTCACACTCCTTTCTGCAAGGACTGTGTATCCTTTGCTGGCTGAAACGCGACAGAAACGAGCCTCTGGGCATTTCCACGCCCGTGTCCCACAGAAGGAGTTCCAGGGTGGGGTACACGTTCCGGTGTCCAGGGTGGGGTGCACGTCCCGGACCAGCTCCTCGCCTCTCCAGAAGCTCAGCCACCCTTGAAGGGCCAGGCGATCGAGGAGAGGGCGAGCCGGTGGCCCTTGGGGCGCCATGGAGACTTGGGTTTTTCTCAGGCAACCGCATTCAGGAAGGCAGAGGTTGGGGAGGGCTTCCCAGCCACTCAGCATGGTGACGGCAGTGTCACAGGGCACGAGTCTGACACCCCATCTCCCACCCAATTGCTATTCATCCAGAAGAGAAACTCATTTTCCAGGTTGTTTAAAAGGTACTTACGCCCGGCCGGTGTGGCTCAGTGGTTGAGCGTCACCCTGCACCAAGAGGTCGCCGGTTGGATTCCCGGTCAGGGCACACGCCCAGGTTGTGGGCCCGATCCCCAGTGGGGAGCATGCAGGAGGCGGCCAGTCGATGTTCTCTCTCATCCATGTTTCTGTCTCTCTCTCCCTCTCCCTTCCTCTCTCTCTAAAATCAATAACAAAAAGAAATAAACTTAAAAAATAAAAGGTGCTCAGGAGTTGTGTTGTCTCCCGGCGTGGAAACCGGGATCAAGGCTCACACCCCCAGTCAGCCAGCAGCAAAGCAAACGCGGACTTTGCTTCCCAGGCCTCCAGGGGGCAGCGCAGGCCGGCGGGGCGACT